AATATCTCGGTGGGAAAATTAGATTATTGTAAAATGTATAGACACAGCTGTTCCCTAGTACATAGTAGATATTCAATAAAAGTTAACTTCTCAATGATGGTAATTTCCTCTGTGTTTGAATTCTGTGGGGTGTGTGTGATTTGTACTGCTGGTGCTAGGAATCCGACATGCTAGGCAAAAGCCTACTACAATGCTAGCTGCTTTTTCCTCCTCTATTTTCTTTCATTATAAAATACACAAAATTACTACTCTAACCATTTTTAATATGATTTAAAAAATTTTCAATGATATTTTTGTGTATCTGTGTGTGGGTGTGTGCACATGAGGGTAGAGGTCATAAGCATTAGATTCCCCTTGAGTTGAAGTTATAGGTGGTTGTGAGTCACCCAACATGGGTTCTGGGAATCTAACTCAGTTCTGTGCAAGACCAGTACGTACTCTTAACCAACGAACTATCGTCACTCCAGCCCTTTTATGTGATTTTCTTTTAACTCTGTAAATTTTCATATGCTTTCTGGTTCTTGAATTTGGAAAATGAGGTCAACTCTAGTATGGACCTTGAAGCCTCTGTATGTCCAGAATGCTGCAGTTAGAAAGGATCTGGGGCAGGGCTGAATGGCTCTAAATATTTGACATCATTTTGGTTCTCAGCCTGAGAAACGCTGACGGGTCTAGCACTTCCAGCACCTTTGTCCAAGGTCAGCAAAGGGCAGAGATTTTGAAGTTAGTTATCAGTGGGTTCTTAGCTAGGCCACCAAGGTCCCCTCCTCCCACCCTGCAGAAAAAAACAGGAGGTGGTTGAAGAAAGGATATGATATTGGTTCTCTACTCCTCTCTTTCCCTGTTTCCCTCACACCCACCCTCTCCCCCACAGCAGCCTTCTCCCCCACAGAGACTGGGATAGGACAGAGGGGGCGGAGTTGGGGACTGAGGGCTTGAAAGCCCCACAGTCCCCTGTATCTACAGGAAGCTGGGGCAGCTGTGCTGGTTTATGCTGTCCTTCTGCTGCCATCCTTTGGCAGGATGCTGGGGACACTGGGGCTTTGGACATTGTTTCCTGCAACTGTACGAGGTAAGTATCTGCAGAGGAGGCCGGGTCTTTCCACCCACCCAGAAAGGGAAAGGGCGAACTTCGAAGCAGCAGCCACCCTTTTGGAAGAGGTGAGTGGGCTAGATGGCTGTGAGTGAAGGGCAAAGCCATGTGTTCCAGGTCTCAGGCCTCCGATGACGAGGTTTCCTCTTGTGCCTCTGTGACCTTCAGATGTGAAAATCATGTTTTTTCTATCCTTTTGGCTACTGTTTCGCCCTTCCTTCACTCCTTTCTTGAATCTTCCCCTTTCCTCACCCTGGACTTCAGCACCCCCAAACAGGCGGACCTGTGTGTTCTTTGAGGCTCCTGGAGTGCAGGGAAGCACAAAAACCCTGGGGGAACTGCTAGATGCAGGACCAGGGCCCCCCAAGGGTATCCGATGCCTCTACAGCCACTGCTGCTTTGGAATCTGGAATCTGACCCAAGGTCAGGCACAGGTGGAGATGCAAGGTGAATGGCAAAATACATGGTAGGTGAAAGCTAGGGTGGGAGACAGGCAGGTCCTGGGTTGGGCAGGAGGCAGTCGGGATTAGGGGAGAAGTGGAATGCCTAGTGAGAAAAGTGTGAGATGGAAGCGATGTCTTTGATAGGGATTTACTCCCTCAATCCCCAGACCCCATTGTGCTTTCTCTCCATTTTCTCTTCCCCTGATCAGGATGCCGAGACAGTGATGAGCCAGACTGTGAGTCCCTCAGATGTGACCCAAGCCCCCGAGCCCACCCCAGCCCCAGCTCCACTCTCTTCATCTGCTCCTGTGGCACTGATTTCTGCAATGCCAATTATAGCCATCTGCCTCCTCCAGGAAACCAGGGGGCCCCTGGCCCCCAGGATCCCCACACTACCCCAGGTAGCTGCCCTCCCCAGGGTACTGGAGCCCAGTGGGGGCAGGAGCACAGGTCAGGATAAGAGGTAGAACCAGGGCCAGCTCTCACCCCACCCCCGCCCCAAGTTTCCCTCTGGCCTTGAGAAGTTGGTTTCCCTGGTGACTGGGAGATAAGGGGGCTTGTGACCAGGATGGGGGTGGGTTGAAAAGCAAGCTCTTTGAAGAGGGGAGAGGTTCAGGAAGCAGTTTGAGACAGTGCTCACCACATGTGTTCTTGCCTTATTGTCCAGGTGGGCCCATCTGGATGGCATTGCTGCTGCTGGGGATGGTCCTCCTGCTGCTGCTGCTGCTGGGCAGCATCATCTCCGGTACTAATCTCCCCATCCCTTCCTGTGACACCAAGACTCAGAGCCCTCTAGAGCCAGGTGCTGGTGACCTCACAGTCCTGGGATCTCTTTAGCCTCCTATCTCCTTACATGAAGTACTCTTCCCATATAGTCCCTTTGGCTATCCCCATGCCTGTGCACCCTCACCCTAGGGCTCTTCTCTGCTTCAGCCCTGCTACAACGAAAGACCTGTAGAGTGCGAGGTGGGTCAGAACCAGAGCCACATTCCAGTGGAGGCTTGAGAGAGGAGCTAGCAGAGTTGCAGGAGCTGTGCTTCTCCAAGGTGCTCCAGAGAAGGAGGGTGGGCTCCTTTGGGCACTCCTGGAGGTTCTGCTTGGGAGGAAGCCTGGCCCTGGTGATAGCTCCAAGGCCCACACTCAGTGCAGTGTCTCTACCAGGTAATCCAGGAAGGAGGTCACGCAGTGGTGTGGGCTGGAAAGCTGAAAGGAGAGCTGGTAGCCATCAAGGCCTTTCCCCCAAGGGCTATGGCCCAGTTCCGAGCTGAACGAGCAGTGTATGAGCTACCTGGCCTACGACATGACCACATTGTGCGCTTTATCACTGCTGGCCAGGGGGGCCCTGACCCCCTGCTCTCTGGGGCCCTGTTGGTACTGGAACTGTATCCTAAGGTAAGAACCAAAAATATCTATTATGCTTGGAGAGGGTGCTGTGTGGAAGTGGGCTTTGTCTGTGCTACACTTCTGCTTTAGACTTCCCTTAAAAGAATTTTTTGTTTTATGTGTATAAGTGTATTGCCTGCATGTATGTAAGTGCATCCATGTCCTGCAATGCCTGCAGAGGTCAGAAGAAGGCATTGGAGTCCCTTGGAACTGGAGTTATAAACAGTTGTTAGCCGCCATGTGGGTGCTGGGAATTGAACCTGGGTCCCCTGCAAAAACAGTCAGTTCTCTTAACTGCTGAGCCATCTCTCCAGCCCAAAACAATTTTTTTTTAACCTGGGCATGGTGATACACATGTGTAATCCCAGCACTAGGGAGGATCAGGAGTTTGAGGGCACCCTCAAACACACAGGCACAGACACACAGACACACACAGATACACAAAGTGAGCCATTGTTAAATATATCCAGGTATAGCTGTCCAACATATTCATATGTTCACTTAACTAATATTTATAGACTCTGTGTTAAGAGCTGTACTAGATGCTGGGAAAACACACACAGTTACTGATTTTATAGATTTTATAGACTAGCAAGGGACACAGAAACAGATAAACACAGAAAGAAGTGCCGAATGTGAAGTGTGCTAAGAGCTGAAAGAGAGGGCACTGGTACTATAAGAACAAATAAGATGTGACCTGAGGGGCTGGTGAGACGGCTCAGCTGGGAAAGATGCTTCTTAGGTAAACCTTGGGGGCCTGAGTTCCATCCCCAGAACCCAACTAAAGGTAGAAGGAGAGAACTCACTCCACACAGCTGTCCCCGGATTCTACTTGTGCACTACGGCATGGACTCCACTGATCCACATATCACACACACAATAACAGTAATAATAATACAGTAACAGAGATAATAGAGTAACAGTAATAATAATACAGTAACAGTGATAATACAGTAATAATCACACAGTAACAGCAATAGTAATACAGTAACAGTAATAATACAGTAACAA